GCCAGTGGGGGCCGGCCTGGGGACCAGCGGGGGCCAGCTGGGGGCTCTCGCGGCCGTGGCTGCTGACAGGTACACAGTACCATGCTCCCGGGCCTGACATGGTGCTGATCCAATTTGTCCAATCAGAGCTCTGCGCTGACACCGGTGACGGCTGGCGAGGTGCCCTCGGCGCTCGAGCTGTGTTCTGGTCCCGGTGTCCCTGGGAGTGCCTTGCCCCATGGCCTTTACCCAAGTGACCGTGCCCACCAATGACTCCAACCGCAGCGCGAGGGAGAGGCGTTAAGAAGGCCAAGTTCCCTCCCACCAAAGGGGGGATGATGATGACGACGACTTCGGAGTGTCCGTGGGAGACTGCTGCTTCCCAGGCTCCCTTCGTGCTGCCCCCTCTTCCGAAAGGGACAGAGCGGGCCTTTATCAAGAATAATGAACACGGATCGAGGGGAACTTTACATAGTGTCTTCTGTCCAGACCAGAGGCCCTCACACTTTATGGTGTGGGAAACCCAGCCAGGAGCGTGTGAACAGGGCAGGGCCCTCACCTCCCACCTGAGGCAGAAAGTCTGGAAACACGATGCTTAAATCACAGCTCCCAGCGTTCCTTGGGGCCGTGGTCAGAGCAGACCCGGGAAACAGTCCCTGGCCAGGCTGCAATCCAACAGAGCCACCACGAGCCGTTACCCGGTACAGGCCTGGGCCCCTCTGACTAAGATCGAAGTCACGGAAAGCCACTGTGAGGTACATCTGTGTCAGGAAGAGCCAACCCATGAGATGCAGACCTAGACATACAGATATGCACACCAGAGAGACAGACAGACAGACAGACAGACCAGTGACAGATGGTACAGAGCCACAGGCAGATGCTAGAGAGCTGATAGATGGTAGACAGACAGATGACAGACACATGGACAGACAGACAGAAGGCACACAGGCAGGTAGATTGGAAGTGCAGATGTGATTAGTACGCTCTGAGGCACCACCCAACCAGTGTGCCCGGGCACCAGGCCTGAGCCAGGACGCCCAGATGCCTGGCGGCCCCGCCACTGAGGGCTTTTCTCTGCCTTTCCTGTATCTCCCTGTAACAAGCCCAGGAACACATTTCTCTCTGGACTCAGTTAATAGCTGGGCTTCACCTTTCCCCCGTCAGTTCCCTTATGGACCCCGAGCCCGAGTCCCCTGTGCACGGCCCGGGGCACCTGGGAGCCAGATAACACCGTTTATAGCTGGAGTTAAAGGCGGCATCGAAGGCGGGGCACTGGGAAGGGAGGGGTCTGCTGAGAAGAACGCCCTCTGAGCGCAGACCAGGCCTGGCTGTTCCGTGCCGCCTTGTCTACCTGCCGCTCTTCCGGCCAATGCACATGAGGCCTGGGACAGGAATATCGGTATGTAGCTGCTTGATGGTACAAACGCTTAGAAATAACCTTTTCTTTCCAGCTGTCTTTCTGACGTGCACACCTAGTGCTAAAGCATCTGACTAGCACAACCCACATTAGCCACTTGGACCCCCGGGGCTGGAGAATTCTATCTCTGTATGCAGAGCGCCCCCTGCCCAAACTGTGCCCGAGGCGCAGGTGCAGGAGGGGGTGCAGGTTGGGGTGCAGGTGGGGGTGCAGGTGGTGGTGCAGGTGGAGGTGTAGGTAGGGGTGCGGGTGGGGTGGGGGTGCAGGTGGAGGTGCAGGTGGAGGTGTAGGTAGGGGTGCGGGTGGGGTGGGGGTGCAGGTGGGGGTGCAGGTGGAGGTGTAGGTAGGGGTGCGGGTGCTGTTGCAGGTGGGGGTGTAGGTGCAGGTGGGGTGAAAGTTAGGGTGCAGGTGCAGATAGGGAGGGAGCCGGTGCAGGTGGGAATGCAGGTGCAGGTGGGGGTAGGGGTGCAGGTGAGGGTGCGGGTACAGGTGGGGGTGCAGGTGCAGGTTGGAGTGTGGGTGCAGGCTGGGGTGCGGGTGCAGGCTGGGGTGCAGGTGCAGCAGCTGACAGGGTGGCCTCAGGTCCTGCAACCTCAGGGCCACGTTGGGGGATGATCCGGACTGTGCAAATGCAGCTGTGTGTGTGCGTGCACGAATGTCCATCTGTGTGTCTGTGTATGAGCCCAGATACATGACGCTTGACCAATAACTGAAAGACACAACTTGCAAAACCGGCCACAATTCACTCTCTTACAAACACCATTAACTGAATAACTGCCCGCGCTCGCGTGAAGCAACCCCAGGCGGGAGCCCTGAAAGAGACCTTGCCTCAGAGGCTGAAACCACCTTTACCAAAAGCTCTGAGCCAACCTGCCGGCCAGCCCTCCGCCCGCCCGCCGGCCTAGCGATGGGCCAGGAATGGCGGGCGCTCAGACCTGATTGAACTGGCTCTTTGCCACTTTTCTGTGTGAACATCCCTCCTGTTCTCTAAATGTGGCATTCAGCAAAGAAAGCCTCAGGCCAGGCCATCGGAGAGGGTATGGATGGTGTCAAAGCACAGCGATGGCGGCACAGGATGCTGGCCGCCCTGGGGAAGGATGGAAGTGGCACCAGGTTACCTCCTGGGCCTGCGATTCCATGAGGAACCAAGACAAGAATTTTCTTTTTCTTTTTTAAAAAATATCTTCATTGATTTTCAGAGAGAGAGGGAGAGGGATAAGTGATAGAAACATCAATGGGAGAGAAACATGAATTGACTGGCTGCCCCCTGCATGCCCCCTCCTGGGGAATCAAGCCTGTTCCCCAGTCATGTGTCCTGACCGGGAATTGAACCAGTGATCTCTTGGTTCACAGGTGGATGCTCAACCACTGAGCCACACTGGCAGGCAAGACAAGAACTGTCCATGCAGACCTTTCTTCAGACGGATTCTCTCATCTTAGAAATGGAATAGTTTTGCTCCGCCTACACAGAAGTAATTCTGTTCTTGAGGAGGTGGAGAAGGTGAGATGGGCCTGGGAGGGAGTCCCCTGGGTTTCCACCTCATTCTGTCCACAACCTGTGGGTGTCAGTGGCCCAGCAGCCCGCCCACCCCCCTCTTCCCCTCTCTCCTCCCAGCACAAGCCTTTCTGAGACGCCAGGCATGCAGGGTGGGTACCACAACCTGTCCGTTTCTGTATTTCCCCAGTTCGAAAGGAAATGCCTCCTGGCCTAAGGCATGGGGTCAGGAGACACCACGTGGGTGTACGCCTCAGAGGGCCACAATCAAACCAAACACACGGCATCCGTGTAACTGTCCACGCGCACCCATCATCATCAAACCTGTGTGACCCTCGCCGAGGGCACAGGAGTCCTACGAGACTCTTACGAGGCCCTTCAAGGTCAGGGTTGGCCCCCGAGGACAATCCTTTCCACCCCACCTGCGCCACATCGGTTTCCTAGTTTGCCGAGAGCCACCCGGCGACAAGCCTGCAGAGAAGCCGAGCCCACGAACCCACGGCCGAGTGCTCTGCACCCTCCACTCCCCTGTTGGGAAGGAGATCGAGTCCCACTGGACGTGAGCTTCTGCAGAGTAAGGGGTGGGAGCAGTACCACGGAAGGGACTTGGACCTGCCTGCCGCCACACTGCCCTGATGGAGGACGGCTCAGTCTGCACAAACATCGCCCGGCATCCTGCTCAGGACCTGCCACGGCCACAGAGAGTAGCCGGTGTGTGCAGCCTGGAGGCGAGCTTCCTCCCTCACCCACTCTTCCCTCAGCAATGCTCACCGGGCACCGCCCACCTGCGGGGCACTGCCCGGACCCACGAGACGGGCCTCCGTGGGGCTGATGCTGCCTGCAGGGAGGAAGGACATAATGGCCTGGTCTGCGCTCAGAGGGTGTTCTTCTCAGCAGACCCCTCCCTTCCCTCTGCATCTGCCTCAGTGCACTGTGCTGACAGACAGGAACTAATAAACTAAAGAAAAACGGGGGAAGGGACAGAGTCCCGGGGTGCAGTGGGAGTAGCAAATGGGGGTGCCAGGAAGGGCCCCTCTGAGGAGGTGTGTGCACAGGAAGGACAGACCATCTGGAACCAAGGTGTCCGGCTGAGCGCACAGCAAGGGCAGGCCCCCGGGCAGAGCGGCAGGGTGACCAGATGGCTGGAACGGGTGATGGGAGGAGCCCACCAGGGCTGCCATCAGGAGCTGGGATTCAATCCCACACCGAACGGGAGAGAAGGGGGCGTTCGGGCAGATCTGTTCACATCCCAACGTGGTCACTAAGGAGCTGTTTGCCCCAGCAGAAGCCAGCCGACCTCTCATGCCTTCCTTTCCTCTCCTTTCCCTCCCGGGACATCGGGATAAGATACCTGTTTCCCAGGACGATGTGAGCCGCTGCGTCCCCATCGCTAAGGAAACGCCCTGCGCAGAGGCAGAGCGAGGACCACCGGGCAGGGGGGGACGGACGCAGAGGCTGCTGTGGTGGTTCTAGGTTTACGGCACCCAGTTCCTCCCAGGAGCTCCGAGCCCTCCGTCCTATCACCTTTAGTTTCGCTAAATAAGTAAGTTCCTGGCATGTGCCTCAAACCCAGTGGTGCTCCGGGCCGGGCTGGGAATGAATTCCAGGGGGAAGGCGTCCTCCGGTTCTGGGATCCGTACGTGGGCCAGTGAGCGCTGCCATTTAGACTCTGCGGGCCAGCACTGCTCCCGGCTGTTAGTTTTCCCAGGTAGAGAGACAACTTGTGAACAACCAGCAAGGCTACCGCCTGTTATAAACAGCTCGTCATCAAAGAAAGAATCTGTAACACCACACAATCATAGGGAGAGGGCAACTCCTACCTGTAGCTCACTTCCATGGACGTTCTCTCTCCCTCTCTCTCTCTCTCTCTCTCACACACACACACACACACACATACACACACATACACACACACACATGCACGCACACACACACGTGTGTTCGGGCACACACACACACACATACACACACACACACACACACCGGTGAGCATTTCACTGTATGTGCACGAGCGCTGCTGGCTCCCATGTACACCCCCCGCTGAAGACCAGGGCGGGGGTGGGCCCAGGGCGGGAAGGACCGCTCGGGGCCCCGGGAAGGGCGCCTCACCTGCGGGGACGATGACCCTGCGCTCGCTGGTGGTCATGTTGGGGGGCGGCAGGTGCTTCTCCTCCAGGTAGCTGCCGTAGCTCATGCCCACCTCCGGGCTGCCCACCATCTTCCCGCCTTTCGCCACGCTGCACTCCTCGGGCGAGTTTCTGGTGGGGAAAGAGGCATTGCTCCATTACTGTGGCAACGGCCCCGCGCCACCCGGCCCGGCCCTGCCCGGGACAGGGAAGCGGGAAGGCGAGCGGAGTGACGGGGGAGGAAGGAGGAGACGCGACAGGGAAATTCGGGGCCCGCCAGGGACGGAGGGTGTCCCCCAAAGTCCACAGGTTGATGTCCTAATGCTCAAAGCGATGACATTTACAGACGGGGCCCTTCTTTCTTGTTTTCTTTTCTTTTTTAAAAATATGTATTCCATTGGTTTCAGAGAGGAAAGGAGAGGGAAGAAAGAGAGAGAAACATCAATGATAAGAAATGTCTCCCAACCCAGGCGTGTGCCCTGACCAGGAACTGAACCACCACCTCCTGGGTCCTGGTTGATGCTCAACCATTGAGACACACCCGCTGGTCAGGTGGGCCCTCCTAATGAAGTTCAGATGAAGATGCGAGGGTGACGCCAACACATTGGACTCGTGTGTCCTTATGAGGAAGACAGGAGACCAGAGAGCTCGCTCCATCCTACGAGGAGCTGGCCCTCTGCAACCCGAGGAGAGGGCACTCCCAGCGCACAGCCCGCCTGGCAACTTGACCTTGGGCTCCCGGTTTCCAGAACCCGGAGGAACCCTGTCTATTGTGGCAGTCCCTCTGAGGTGCCCGGCTCAGGCCCAGCCAGGAGTGGGCATAGCCAGGAGCGGGCACAGCCAGGAGCGGGCCCAGCCAGGCTCAGGCACAGCCAGGCTCAGGCCCAGCTGGGAGTGGGCACAGCCAGGAGCGGGCCCAGCTGGGGGCGGGTACAGCCAGGCTCAGGCCCAGCCGGGAGCGGGCGCCTGGGAGCGAGGCTGCCACCTGGCTTCTCTTTCTCCAGCGGCTCCTCCCGAAACCGCCACGTCGAAACTCCATCTGCAACAACGGACGGGGAACACGTGCAGACAACGGCGAACCGCCGCCTGTCCTCGCTGCGTGACAGTAAACAGGCCGCGCAGACAGATGCTGGACGGACGCCGGCGCCCTCCCTCCGCCAGGCTCAGCTCAGAACCAACTTCCTCTTTCTCAGAACCTCCGAGCACCGTCCTCGGTGGAACGTCCCATTCCGATTTCACGCCTGTCTGTTGGTAGGGACTTGGAGCCTCACCGTGTCCCAAGCTCGGTGCCAGGCAGGCTGGGGTGCAGGGGGGAGGACCCTGGGGGGGGGGGGGAACAAGCTGTGAGGATGCAGAGGGCTCAGCTGCTGGCCTCGGGGCCAGCTCCCAGGACTGTGTGACTAAGGCAGCCACGGCCATTAGGATAAGGACTGCCTACCTTGCTGGAAAAATAAAACAGGGAATTAAAAAAAAAAAAAAAAAAAAAAAAATATATATATATATATATATATATATATATAGTATTGATGTTTTACAAAGAGGGAGGGAGAGGGATAGAGAGCTAGAAACATCGATGAGAGAGGAACATCGACCAGCTGCCTCCTGCACACTCCCCACTGGATGTGCCCGCAGCCAAGGTACATGCCCTTGATCGGAATCGAACCTGGGACCTTTCATTCCGCAGACCCAATGCTCCATCCACTGAGCCACACCGGTTTCGGCAACAGGGAATTTTTTGAGGTTCAAAAAATTTGAATTTTTTGGTCCAATCTTATTAAATATTTGGTATAACTCATATTAATAAGGAAACTCCAAATAGAGAATCCAGCTTAACCAGGAAACAGAAAAACACATAAAATCCTTCTGAGAGGGTCACCCACGGGCAGTGAACCCAGGACCGCTGCAGAGGCCTCTCACGGTCCGGTTATGTCTCCCCAGGTGGCTTTCTAGACATGGCCTCTCACCCTCAACCCTACGCGTGCTTTTTCATTTTCCCAGAACACCCCGAGGCTCCCCTGGATTTTAAACTTCCTCCCTGTGTCCGAGGCCTGAGGGTGTCTGGGTGTCCTCCAAACTTCACTAGTGGGAGATGTGCCAGCCACCGGCATGGACTTGACCTTCATGTCTGAGAAGGTCACAGCCAGCCAAGGCAGGAGAGCCCTCTCTCTGGGTGGCGCGGGGCTGGGGTGGGATGCAGAAGGTCATTCCAGGGCCCAAGGCCACAGCTGGGGAGTGCACAGGAGGGGCAGAGAGAATCCCCTCATCTGGGACTTGGAAAAGGTACGTCTGTTCCCAGCGCCACTGGCTCATGTGCCCGGTGCTGATGGCGGGAGCTCTGGGCCGGCCGTGGGTGAGGAGCCGTTTGTGTCCGTGGATGGAGGCTGCCGTCGGGGCCACCCAGGCCTGGAAACACCCCGCCCAGCTCCACGGCCTCCTCGCAGCTGTACTAACACGAAGGAGATGTAAAAATAATAACGGTCTGCGTTCCCATGGTGAGGCCCCGCAAAATTTCCAGCGCTGCCTACACAAGCATTATTTCCTCCTGATGCCGTTTTTCCTGGCTTCCCAAGTTTATCTCTGAAAGACCCATCCTAATATCAAAACACCGAGTGTCTTCGCTTCGGCCTTCGTTTCCTATCCCTTCGGAAAATTCCATCTGTTGAGCGGAGGGTATGTTTGGGTCTATTTGTCTCAAGGAGAGAGAGTTACTAGGGGAGTGAGCTACAGGGAACTGGATGCAACTCAGGTGAGGGGCAAACCTCGGGTGACAACCCTACTGGCCAGGGTGAGACTGTTCCGAGTCCTTCATGCACTCGGCCATTCAGGCCATTGTTTAAAAAATACTTTCATTGATTTCAAAGAGGAAGGAAGTGGGAGAGAGAGAGAGAGAGAAACATCCATGATGAGAGAGAAACATGGATCAACTGCCTCCTGCATGCCCTACACTGGGAATCGAGCCTGGGCATGTGCCCTATCTAGGAATCACACCGTGACCTCCTGGTTCCTAGGTCAATGCTCAACCCTGAGCCACACCAGCTGGGCCGTGCCATTGTGACTGAGCGCCTGCTGTATACCAGGCACCCTAAGTTCTTTCTCCTCCAACAAGGCAGTTACCCACCTAATAGGTGAAAGGTCAGAGAGATGTATGGGGTCACAGAAATAGGACCCTGCAGACCAATGCTTTCATTTTTCTTCTAACTCTTAACAGTTGCATTCCCGTTATCCGAGGACACGTGCTCTGGGCATGGGTCACAGTAGTTTTCCCACGGCTTTAAAACAAAGGTGACAAGTCGCACTGCCCCCAGCTTTCCAAAACCGTGTGCAAGTGTTTAAAGTGGGGGCCGTTTCGGTGAGGTTCGTTTGTTTTCGTGCTGCGACCACAAGACATAACTCACCGCCTGAAGCTTCCCCACGCCGCTGCCGCGGAGAGAACAGGCCTCCAGGCCCGTGGCACCGCAGCACACTCAGGGCGACAGAAACACAGGCCTCCCCGCTGGGTCTGCCTTTCGCTTCGGGGGGAGGGAGAGTGGGACTGTGCCTCTGGCCAGTTCCAATAGTCGTTGTGATAAATCTACGGGAACTCCCACCGCAGAGCGGGGAAAGGGCCGCCCGTGGGGCCACGTGCTGGACTCAAGGTCGATGTTGGCGACAGGGGCCCAAGGCTAGAAGTTCTGGTCTCAGTGTGTAGTCATTCCCCCTGGTTTTGACTCTTGGAAATTTCAATAGCCAAAGAGTGGTGTCTATCTTGCGGGCCCTGATCTGAGAGGCCGCAGTCGGAGGTGTGGGCAGGAGAGAGGGGCTCGCTCCGGGACGCAGAGCCAGGGGGGACAGGCTAGAGGCTGGGCAGTCTGAACTCACTGTCTCTCCCTGGCCCCTGCCTGCACCAAGGAGAGATGGGATGCTGGCCCCGGAGACGGCCGTGCAGACGGCACATGTGAACGCACGTGTGGATTGTGGTGAGTCCGGCTCCAGGGGTGATGGCCCCCTCCGTGTGCAGCGGGATGTCACAGGCTCCCCCCAGCCCTTCAGCATGGGGCACGCCCTGCAGGGGGGGGGGGCAGTGTTCCTGGGTAGGAGGGGGACTCGGAGGCAGCGTGGGCCGGCATGCAGCAGATCCCGGGCCCGGGCAGAGAGCGGACCGAGGACCCGGGCAGAGGCTGGGCCCCGGGAACGCGGTCAAGGTGCTCTGTAAGGTCACCGGGGACACAGCCCGAGACAGAGGCTCCCTGTAGCTGTGTCCATACGTTATGCCTTTTCCGAGGGAGGGGAGGCCTGGGGGAGGTGGGGGGGATAGGGAGTGATGTGCCTGTACCAAGGAATTACAGGAAAGGCTGTGGTTGTTGAAAAACGAAACGAACTTGGCATCTGACGCTGGTTTTCAGAGCCAGCCGAGAGCAGGCCGTCCATCAGGGACAGAGCCCCCGGTGCTGCCATCTGTGCCCGGTGAATGGACCTCATTTATCCAAGATCGACCCCAAGGCAGCCCCGAGCCACGGCCCTGGGCCCGCCGGCCACGGCCAGCCTGTGATTCCCCCTCGGTCTGGAACAGTGAGCCGAGACTTGCCTGACAGGAAGTCCAAGGCGAGCCGATGTGGAATGAGGAAATCAGCAGACCTCCTTCCGGGGGCCAAGGCACCCCTCAGCCCTGAAAACCGACCCATCCTCCGAGACCCGCCCTCCTCCCTCCCCCGGGAGACAGCCCCACTGCCCTGCTCTCCACCGCGTGCTGGGGCGGTAGGGATCCCCGCTTCCTTGCAGTGATCTCCCCAAATACAAACCCGCCGCCAGCCCGTGCAGCCCACCCTCCCTGGCCCCAGGCGCCTAAGGATGGATGCACACCCCCCACAGCCTCCTCGGCACCTGGCCTGGGCCTTCTCCAGTCATCACTCACTTAACAAATATTACAGAGCAGCCCTAACTGGTGTGGCTCAGTGGATAGAGCGCCAGCCCACGGACCGAAGGGTCCCAGGTTCGATTCCGGTCAAGGGCATGTACTATGATTGCAGGACCAATCCCTGGCCTTGGTTGGGGCACGTGCGGGAGACCATCTATGTGTCTTTCTCACATCCATGTGTCTCTCTGTCGCTCCCCCTCCCTTCCACTCTCTCTAAAAAGCAATGGGAAAACATCCC